ATATATCGAGGGTGGCAGGTTCAAACCTAGCCCCTGCCAAACTGCAACAAAAAATAGCTGGGCGTTGTGGCGAGCACCTGTTGTCCCAGCTACTTGGGAGGCTGAGGCAAGAGAATCGCCTAAGCCTAAAAGTTGGAGGTTGCTGTGAGCTATGACACTGAAGCACTCTACAGTTGACAGAGTGAGACCCTGTCTCTCAAAAAAAAAAGAATATACTTACTGTGCATTGAACTTCTGAAAATAATTTAATCAGTGATTTTTTTTTCACAAAAATCTGTTAAGTTTATTAACATAATATATCCTGATATGTATCAAAGTTTGAGATTCTTTTTTGAATCTCAAATAAGAAATCACAATATTCAGTATTAAAAAGGAAAAAAGGCAGTGGTGGTCATTTGTGGGTTTAAGTCCAAAATGAAAGTAAACATTTATTTTGGTGGATCTGTGTTGATGCTGTATTTCTCCTTGAGAAGTTTCAACTGTTCCTCCTCCTTCTTTGTGTCCATCTTCTGAAATGCCCTGTTGCCATTATAGTACAAAACCACAAGGTATCTGTTACAAACATTGAATCCTGATAGGTGATGACATGCGTTCGTGGCATCAAAGATGTCTTCATAGACCACATAAGCTGTTTCTCTAGTTTCAGGTGTGTTCTCCACTCTGATCTGATGAATAGGCCCATATTTTCCAAAAATATCATACATTTCTTCAGCTGTGATTTTGTATGGCAAATTCCTTATATATAAGATCCGATTTACTTTAGATGGAAGTCGAATATTTGCCCTCTTGGCCTCTTGCATCGTCACCTTGGCAGGCTGATGAGGTTACTGTGACAAACACTTGAAACCTGTAGACAGTCCGCATCTTGCCTGGCTTCAATAAGTGACCTTTAAAAATTTTCACGGTACAGCAGTGTAATGCAAGATGCTGATTGAAAGTCATTGGTCTACAGTGTTGTGTAGTGTTTCATCAGTCAGTGGGGAACGAGATGCTTATGATTAAGGCTTTTGTTCTGAAGTAGGGGTCACAATTTAATAGCCAGAAGTTACTGTGGTAAATACAATGCTAGAGATAGGAGCAAAGTGCTGTGGAAGTGCAGAGGTGGAGAGATTAATGCAGTTTGTGGGGCTCCAGCAAGTGCCGCACATAATAGGTGACACTTAAACTACTGTTTGGAAGGGAACATGTTAATATCAGACAAATAAAAGTGCCTGAGGAAGAGATACCCAAGCAGAGAGAACAAGTACAAAGAAAGAGAATTACTATTAGGGATAAGAGTCTAGTGGACAGCTGGCTGCAGTTGGAGTTGAGAGAGAAAAAAACAGCTCCTGTCTGCTTCAGCATAGAGTGGCCTCACTGACAGCTGGGCCACCATTTCACAAAACCCCAACATCTCCCTGACTGTTACAGCGAGACAAAACCATGAAGACCGTTCAAGCTGCAGAAATAACCACACATCCTTTTCTTTTGGCTAACAGCAGTGTCTGTTACTACCAAACACAGCGGTAGTCTCACTTCATTACTCTTGCTTTCTATATACAAATTTAAGATACTTGACTGTACAATCCAGAGCCTTGAACTCTCTCCCCAAATCTGATACAAACCCTAATCTTGGAGCTAGCCCTTCCTAACGCTGTCTCACTGGATTGCTTATGGTTCTCCATGGTCTGTTCTCTTCTTCAATGCAACAAACTGAGGGTGTTGCCAGAACCAGGAATATATGAGGGATGGTAGTTGAGAGGAGTATCTCAGTTGTATCCCCAGAAAAAGTAAGTGCAATGAATACTTAAACATGCTTGAATATTTACATAGAGGGATTACATAGACATCACTGGAAATGATCACTCGAGTGTTTGGAAATTAGGAGATATAACTTCTGGACAAACTGCTATTAGTCTGTGACCTAAAAATATTCAATGTAAGTTTTCCTTTAGATGATATACTGATTTTGCTTTATGCAGTTAAGTTTATTTTAAAATAGACTTTTAATCAGTACTTAAAATGGAAAGTTTCATTTGTCATAATGTCAACTGTTAAAATACTTTAGAAAGGAGTGGGAACTTGGAAAGAGTCAGAGATGTTAAGATGGGAGTTAAAGCCCCAGTCCCAAATTGAGGTTTTTCCTTGAATTAATCAGGATTAAAAGAAAATGAAAGTAACATACCATTCACATCATGTGCTTTAACTTTATTTGATGCCATCTGAAGTCTACTCAAGTGCTGTTTGCAGGATGGCTCCCTCACTTTTCAAAACCTTACTCCCATCCAACCTAAAAGGATCATACAGCTATATAGAGGTTATAATAATTAATATTAATTAATTCATATTAATATCACAACACTTTTTTTTTTTTTAGAGACAGAGTTTTACTTTTTCACCCTTGGTAGAGTGCTGTGGCATCACAGCTCACAGCAGCCTCCAGCTCTTGGGCTTAGGAGATTCTCTTGCCTCAGCCTCCCGAGTAGCTGGGACTACAGGCACCTGCCACAAGGCTTGGCTATTTTTTTTTTTTTTGCCATTTGGCTGGGGCCCAAACCCTCCACCCTTGGTATATGGGGCTGGTGCTCTACTCACTGAGCCACAGGCGCTGCCCCACAACACATTTTTCTTGACTGTATGCAGATGCAAACCTTATTAGGCTGTTCCCTTGCTTAAAATCCTTTGAGGGCTCTCTGTTGCTTTTTGGATAGAATGGGGTCGCCTTGTTAATGTATTCTATCTGACTTTCTTGAAAGAAGGTAAGATCTAGGATTTATTTTCCTGTTTTTGCTGACAAGCTTTTTGTGCTATGGTTTTAGAATGAAGCTCGTAAATTAAATCACCAGGAAGTTGTGGAAGAAGATAAAAGACTTAAGTTACCTGCAAATTGGGAAGCCAAAAAAGCCCGTTTGGAATGGGAACTGCAGGAAGAAGAAAAGAAAAAGGTTAGGAACTACTCTGCTATCTTAAGTGGTTATTCAGTAATCCTGTTGTGTTAGGACAGTACAGCATGGGATTACACAGGCTCTGGAGCCAAACTGCCAGATGTTATTTGCTATACTTGGGTCAGGTATTTAAACTCTCTGTACTTCTCTTTTCTTATCTGTAAAATAGGACTGTACTAATAATTATTTGAGTTAATTGTGAGTTAAGTATTTATTTAAAGCAGGCCCTGATATACACTCAATAAGTATATGCCTTACTTTTTTTTTTTTTTTTTTGAATTAGAATCTCACTCTGTGGCCCAGGCTGGAATATAATCATAACTCACTATATCCTCAAACTCCTGGGCTCAAGCAATCCTCCCACTTCAGTCTCCTGAGTAGCTGGGACTACTGGCATATGCCACTACTCCTGACTAATTTTTCTGGTTTTTGTCTTGGTATGTTGCCCTGGCTAGTTTGAAACTCCTGGCTTAAATTGATTCCCATTTGGGCCTCCCATAGTGCTGGGATTATAGGCATGAGCCACCATGCCTAGCTCAAATGCTTACTTCTTATTTAACATAGCAGATTCTCACATTTCCTTAAAATATTAGGTTTTTTTTTTTTTTAGACAGAGTCTCATTATATCATCCTTGGTAGAATGCTGTGGCATCACAGCTCACAGCAACCTCAAATTCTTAGCTTAAGTGATTCTCTTGCCTCAGCCTCCCAAGTAGCTGGAACTCCAGGTGCCCACCACAATGCCCGGCTGTTTTTTTGTTGCAGTTATCATTGTTGCTTTAGCTGGCCCAGGCTGGGTTCGAACCCGCCAACTGTGGTGTATGTGGCTGGCACCCTACCCACTGAGCTGTGGACGCCACCAAAAATATTAACCATTTTTTAAATGTTGTTTGGTATCTTTATTGGATCTTTCTTGATTTAAAATAAATAATTTATCATAAATGTAGGTATCAGCCTTTTTCTTCTTTTTAGGAATGTGCGGCAAGAGGGGAAGACTATGAGAAAGTCAAGTTGCTGGAAATCAGTGCAGAAGACGCAGAAAGATGGGAGAGGAAAAAGAAGAGGAAAAACCCTGATCTGGGATTTTCAGGTAAAGTTGACCTTTATTGAACTTTATTGAATAGGATGTTAGATAAGGATTGCCTTGAGTGTTTCTGGCTTTAGGAAAAGATGTGGGCCTTGTACTCCTTTCATGGAATATTCTCTTCAGAGCCCTAAAGCCAAGAACAGTACAAATCATGTCTCATAGGGCAGAAGTAAAAAAAAGATTGCACTTCAGTCAGCTGGATTCTTTTGTTCTTTGTCATAAAAAGTTATCAAAGTCTGTTTATCAGCATCTTTCAGATAGAGGCTATGCTTAGATTAGTGTCTTGTGCATATTTTACCTATTATACAGTGAGTATCCCTAGCCTGAAAATTCTGTGTGTTCCAAAATCTGAAAATTTTCAAACACCAACATGACACTCAAAGGGATGCTCATTGGAATTTCAGGTATCAGTTTAATGCAGTTAGATATTTCAAAGTCTGAAAAAAATCTGAAACAAAGCGTTTCAGATAAGTGATATTCACTTCTAATTTTGACTTTTTTCTTTTTTTATCGAGACAGAGTCTTACTTTGTCTCCCTCTGTAGAGCGCAGTGATATCATAGTTCACAACTTCAAACTCTTGGGCTTAAGCCATTCTCTTGCCTCAGCCCCTCTTGTAGCTGGGATTATGGGCACCTGCCACAATGCCTGGCTACTTTTTGTTTGTTTGTTTAGCAGGCCTGGTCAGGTTTGAACCCACCAGCCCTGATTCCCATGGCTGGCATCCTAACCACTGAGCTACGGACGCCCAGCCTTGATTTTTTTTCTTAATAGTAATGTCCAAACAAGGAAATGTATCATCTCTATCATCTCTGATCCTCATTTTATTTTTAGATTATGCGGCTGCCCAGTTACGCCAGTATCATCGGTTGACCAAGCAGATCAAACCTGACATGGAAGCATATGAAAGACAGAGAGAAAAACAGTAAGTTGTTTTTTCATCCTGAGACAATGTGGGTATATTTTGTGTGTATGTGTGTATGTGTGCCTGTGTGTATATGTATGTATACACATATGCATATGTATATATACACATACACATGTATGCATTACATATGTCTGTATACACACAAACATATACATATGCATTAATACATATACTTCAATGCTGCGGTGTGGGTTAGCAGCAGCTGTCTAAGAATGGTCTTAATACACAGCAATTAAGTTAATCACTTGGGTTTTTTTCCTACCTGGGCATTCTAATACTGGGTAGGACTGGGGTCATCATAGTTACTTAGGCATTATTAATATTTTAGAGGGCAGAATGCTTTAGTGCCTTCACAGAAAAGTAAGTGAACTTTTTTTGTGAAGGACCAGATAGTAAATATTTTAGGCTTTATGGGCCATACAGTCTCTGTCATGACTTTTAACTGTAGTGTTGAAGTGTTTGAAGTGCAGCGGTAGAAGCTCTATGCTTCCCCTCCCCCATGGAGACAGAGTTTCACTTTACTGCCCACAGTAGAATGCTGTGGCATCACACAGCTTACAGCAAACTCCAACTCCTGGGCTTAGGTGATTCCCTTGTCTCAGCCTCCCAAGTAGCTGGGACTACAGGTGCCCGCCACAATGCCCGGCTATTTTTTTGTTACAGTTTGGCTGGGGCCTGGTTTGAACTGGCCACCCTTGGTATATGGGGCCGGTGCCCTACCTACCCACTGAGCCACGGGCGCTGCCCAGAAGCTCTATGCTTTATGATCTTTTGTAAGTCATTTAACTGCTGGCTGTTGCCTCTTTAATCTGTAGAATGAAGATATTGTAGCAGGTTATTTCATAGGTCTCTTCCAATTCTGTATTTTTTTTTTTTTCCAGACAGGGTCTTGCTCTGTTGCCTAGGCTAGATTGCAATGGTATAATCATAGCTTACTGTAGCCTTGAACTCCTTGAACTTGGTCAAGGAGTGTGATCCTCTTGCCTCAGCCTCACAAGTAACTGGAATTACTGGCTAATTTTTATTTTATTTTAATTAATTAACCTTGGGTAGAGTGCTGTGATATCACAGCTCACAGCAACTTCAAACTTTTGGGCTTAAGTGATTTCTCTTGCCTGTGCCTACTAAGTAGCTGGGACTACAGGCACCTGCCACAGTGCCCAGTTATTTTGTTGTTGTTGTAGTTGTCATTGCTGTTTGGCAGGCCCCGGGCAGGGTTTGAACCCACCGGCCCCGGTGTATATGGCTAGCATGCTAGCCTACAGGTGGTAAGCCTAATTAATTTATTTTTTAAGACAGAGTTTCATTCTGTTGCCCCAGGCTAGAGCCTGTGGCATCAGCCTAGCTTGCAGCAACCTCAAACTCGTGGGCTCCAGGCGTCCTCAAACTATGGCCCACGGGCCACATGCAGCTTGCCTAGGACATTTATCTGGCCCACTGGGTATTTTTGCCGCTGCTGCCTGTCCTGCTTAGCAGCCAACTCGTCCCAGTCCTGCAGTCTGGGCTGCCAACAGTCTGAGGGACAGTGAACTGGCCCCCTGTTTAAAAAGTTTGAGAACCCCTGGCTTAAGCAATCCAAGCAATCCTACTGCCTCAGCTTTTAGAGTACCTGGAACTACAGACGCCGCCACAGCCCGCGGATATTTTTAGTAGAGATGAGGTCTCACTCTTACTAAAGCTGGTCTTGAACTCCTCAGATCAGGCAGTCCTCTCACCTCAGCCTCCCAGAGTGCTAACATTATAGGTGCGAACCTACTTTATTTTTTAGAGACGGGGTTTCACTATGTTGCCCAGGCAGGTCTTAATTTCTGGGCTTGAGTGATTCTCCTGCTTTGACCTCCCAAAATGATGGGATTATAGGTGTAGGCCACTGTGCTTGGTGTGTGTGTGTGTGTGTGTGTGTGTGTGCGTGCGTGCGCGTGCACACACAGTTTTTGGCTGGGGCTGGGTTTGAGCCCGCCACCTCTGGCATATGGGGCTGGTACCCTACTCCTTTGAGCCACAGGTGCTGCCCGTGTGTGTGTGTGTGTGTGTGTATGTGTGTGTTTTAAAGAAAAATATTAAAGTGGGATCCCACAGTAAATAGAAGTATATATTTTACCTCACTAGGAGTATATGAAATTTGAAAATAGAGCACTTGTAGTGCTACCATAAGTTCATTTTGTTGTCCTTTTAGTGGAGAAGAGTTTTTCCCAACTTCCAACAGTCTTCTTCATGGAACGCACGTACCTTCCACAGAGGAAATTGATAGGATGGTCATAGATCTGGAAAAACAGTAAGTACTCAGTGGTGCAGCCTGTAATTTTAAATGCTTAGTAACAAAAGGGACTTAAAATGCATACCTACATCTCATGTGCTTAGAATGAATTGAATACACAGAAATTATTCTTGCTCATTTATGATCTAGTGGTTTTGGGGATAGATAGCAAGTATGGATTGAGGCTATATGATTTGGAATATATTGGAAAATACTGGTTAAATTGAATTTTTACAATTGAAGGTGAAAGATCTAAAGATAATTATTCTTTAAGGACTTTTTTTTTTTTTTTTTTTAGTTCTTCTTTTACAGACACTCTACTATTTGATTTGAAGAAGTAGGAATGTACTAGGAAATATTCCTAGTACATATGTTTAGGTAGAGGTGAATATTAGGTAGTGCAGAATGAATATGTATATATCTTAGGAGTTGGTACATGTAAGGTATTGAGAATAGTGTCTGGCACATGCTGTACACAGTATTTGTGGTGGTTATAATTGACGTAATTGTTATTGTAACAATTATCTTCTTTTAAGTAATACTTCATGTGTTAAGTTTCTGACAGTGTATCATTGCAGTTTCAGAAGCATTTTGAAGATGAGTTTGTATTTACTGATTTCACAGTTCATACCCCACATTGTGCCATTAATTAACAGTTTCAGCTTGAACTTTATGAAAACAGGACTTGGTTTTTATCCTCTCCAAAGTGTATTCTAAATGTGCTGATTCTATTTTTAACTGTCCACATTTTATTAAGATAAAAAGGGCAGTTTTGAATTAAATTTTTATTTATTTATATATTTACCCTGAGTAGAGCACTGTTGCATCATAGCTCACAGCAACCTCACACTCTTGGGCTCAAGCAATTCTTCTGCCTCAGCCTCCTGAGTAGCTATGATTACAGATGCTCACCATAACACCTGGATATTTTTAGTAGAGATGGGATCTCGCTCTTGCTCAGGCTTGTAGCAAACTCCTGAGCTCAAGTAATCCACCTGCCTTGGTCTCCTGAATTTTGTAAATTACTTTCTTCTACCCCAGGATTGAAAAGCGAGACAAATACAGCCGAAGACGTCCTTACAATGATGATGCGGATATTGACTACATTAATGAAAGGAATGCCAAGTTTAACAAGAAAGCCGAAAGATTCTATGGGAAGTATACTGCTGAAATTAAACAGAATTTGGAAAGAGGAACAGCTGTCTAAGCCCTTCAAGAACTGTTTAGCAAAGCTTGAGGGAGTGAAAATTTCTTTTAGCAAATTCAAGTTCTCTTTGAAATTTTATCAGTAAACCAGAAGTTGGTTTATACCTTCCCACTCAGCATTTAGAAATAAAAACATTGTTTCTTAAACATATATATTTCAACATTTTTGTGCTTGGATATAAGATGTATTTCTTGTAGTGAAGTTGTTTTGTAAAAAACTACTTTGTATAGATTTTAATTATATTATTTTTCTAAGTATTTTAAATATGTGTGACTTTAGTCTTTGAAGCATTTTGGGCTTAAGATTGCTGGCAGCACGTCTAGGCAAAGGAACCATTTCCAGTTGTGGACTCTGAAGCCAAGGGATGTGGGCATGAGGGAGATGGCAGTGGCTACCGGAGGTGGGGCTGCTTATGACCACGTTCAGGGAATAGGAGAGCTGTCCTCCCCTGAGTATTGACCATGTACAGTTTCCTTTTTAATAACCAATAAAATGCTTTGGATTAGAATATCATTTAAAATAAGTATTTGTATGTACATGTGTATATTTGTGTATACATGCTGCCATTACACAAACACTGAAAGAATGTTTTATTATGGAAATTTCAAACACATTCTAAAGAGGACTGATAATAGAGTGAATCCCATATACCCAATACCCACATTCTGTCATCAGTGCATGGCCAATCTTGTTTTATCTGTCTTTTCTTTTTTCGCTTTGGGATGGAGTCTCACTATGTTGCCTTCGGTAGAGTGCTGTGGCATCACAGCTCACGGCAACCTCAGACTCATGGGCTTAAGTGATTCTCTTGCCTTAACCTCCCAAGTAGCTGGGGAAGTATATTTCTATCTGTGTTTTCCTTCATGACTCTCATGTTATTTTGAAGCTAATACTAGATGTATAATTTCTTCTATGAATATTTCAGTTTGTGTCTCTGAAAGAGTTAAAATAAAAATGACTTTTTTCAGCAGCTTTATTTTTATAAAAATCCAGAGAAAGATTTTTTTCCTACATGTTGAATTAAATGCTAAATACCTAATTAGGACATTTCAAATGGAGAGAAATGTGCAATTCAGAAAAATTTCACAAATACTTCAGCTTCAGTGTTGGAAGACAATTTAGCATTTAATACCACTGGTGATTGTTCTTTTTATTGTTTTTGAGATAGTCTTGCTCTTTTGTCCCAGCTAGAGTGCAGTGGTGTCATCCCAGCTCACTGCAACATCAGACTCCTGGGGCTAAGTGATCCTGGTGAGTAGCTGGGACTACAGGTGTGGGTCACTAAATGAACACAGCACAGTTTTTTCTTTTTAATTTTTTAGAGACAAAGTCTCACTTTGTCACCCTCAGTAGAGTGCTGTGGCATCACAGCTCACAGCAACCTCCAGCTCTTGGGCTTAGGTGATTCTCTTGCCTCAGCCTCC